CGAGGCCCCGCGGGCCGCAGACCCCGCCGTCCAGACCTAGCGGCCGCGGCCGCGCCTCCATGTCGGCCCTTGGCCGCCATCCCTCCGAAAGCCAAGTTCTTAAAAAGTGTCGAACAGGTAGTTTTTGAAATAGCAATGAACTTAGATGCAGAACAGAACATTCTGGGCTTCATAAATTACTGTAATTTTGTGTATAATGGTTTCTTACAAAATTTCACATCTTTACGACTCTGATGCTTTTTAAAAAAAAAAAAAAACTAAGAACTCTCAATGTTTCCATTTGAAATCACTGAAATGGGAAAGTGCCTACAAAAGCATATTGCTTTTTCAGATTATAAAGTTATCTTTTCCAGTAACTTGACAATGGAAAACGTTTAAGGGAATTTCAGTGGACGCTGGAGCCATACCTTTGCTGACATCTCATCCGTGTTTCTAGGTTTCCAGGAGCTGTTTTTACAGGTTTGGCAGGCCCTCGCTGGGACTGCGTGCTGCCCGGGGAGGCTTCCGCACGGGGGCCGGGCCGGGCCGGGCCGAGTCAGAGCAGGGTCAGCTCTCTCTGGAATGTTGAACACAAAGCTTACAACTACGTTCTCCTTTTGTTATAAATTTAAATTACAAATTTCAGCCAGGAAACAAAACACATTTCTTAGTTTTGCTTGGGTTTTTATATGTCACCTTACACTTGTTTCTTTTTTTGAAAATGTGATTAAAAGCAACATCTAGGGAGAAACTGTTGCATTTTAAATAACAATTTATTGAAAAAGGTTTAAATTTTACCAGCCTAAAGTGAGAAAATGAACCAATTAAGTGTACCTGGGGGCGGGGCGGGTCTTTGATTTGAACGATCAGGAACATTTTGTTTGTTGAACTTTGCCATCGGAGTAGTTATTTCTACACCCCAGGACAAGTGCACCAGCTCCGAACCGTTACATTTGTCAGGTGAGAAATTTTAAAGTTTGTCTTTGAAAATGGGACATTTGTATAAATTCTGAGATAGAAAATAGTGATACCAGTTCAAGAAGTACGAACCAGAAAGCTTTCGCTGTGGGATACGGCGAGCTGCTTCTTGTCATGGATTTTTCAGCTTCTCAAGTGTGAAAGAGAAAACCTTGCTAATTTATTTGACTGTACAGATTCACTTTGATACCTTTTTTACATTTTCATAAACTTCCTTTTGCAGGCGTCAGATTTGAGTTTCACTTGTTCTTTGGAGCCTCTTATCCCATCGTACATCACTACAGATTTTTCACTTTCTAGCACAAACGTTTAGATTTGAAAACATCGCGAACTTAGCAATTTGGGATGATCGGTGTATTAAGCCGAGTGTTGATAGGTTAAATTACATAAAAGTGGTGTCAAGTTCCAACATCTAATAGGATGTGAAGGTTTTTGTACATGTAAAACAAATTTTTCTAATTTAAATGCACAAATGTAAAAATCAAGTGTGTTTCTTTAGGTTTACTTGATAGAGATTTCTGTAAATTGTATTTTATATTGCAAAGTATTATATCACTGTACATTAAAACATGGAACTTCATAGGTTTTGTTACTTGAAGTAGAATAAACATCTACAGAAGGTTTTGTGTCGTGTGTCATCGATCTTTTCCATGTTGAAGAGTCGGGGCTGGACGCGGGCGCCTCTGCTACCCCCTTGCCAGTTGACGTGGCATGGGCGGGGGTGCCCTCCGGCCTGCAGACCCTCCCCAACTTCAGGGACAGTTGCCGTCGCTGCCTCATGTGGCTGACCTCTGACCTCAATTTGGGTGACCCACACCCACAGCTGTGTCTGCAAAGTCTTGGGCTGTCACAGGAAGCACAGACAAGTGCCTGAGTACAAAATGACAGGTGGTTCCGGGGGGGGACGAGTGGTCACCGCAGGTCCCCAGGGCCGGCGGGCATGCAGTGGGGCCAACTCGGTGGCTCATGGTTTGAAGGCGCATCGGGCTGCCAGTGGGCTTGTTAGGGCGCGTGCGGTGAGGCGGCATGCGGTGGCGGCCGGGCTGGCCGGTAGACGCGGGAGGGGAAGCTGCAGGTGTGGCCTTGCCCTTGAGCCTCAGCTAGTCAGCGGCTACACGTAGTTGACCTTAACCTGGTGACCGTCGTGCATGGACACAAGCATGAGCATCCACAGCCTGCTGTGAGGGGGACACCAGGAGCATGCTCGAGCAGGACAGGCGGCCCTGGTGGGTGGACAGTCAGTACCAACTGCCCGTTCCACAGGGGACCCACCATGGGCCGCCCCTGCCACAGACCCATGTGACTGTATGGCCAGCAGAGCCTGCCGGCCCACCGAGACCCACGGGCAGGACATGGTTTTCAAGTCACCCCAGGGGGGCGACGCCGCATGGGGAACCCTGAGAAGCCCTCCGTCCTGCGTGCCCCCCGACGTTGGCACTCACCTGCCTTCAGCCACAGCCTACCCTTAGGCGCTCCCCCACACCCTCCGTGTCCGGCCCCCGGCCATGCTCCCACCCTGAGCTCACACGGCCAGTGCCGGCCACGGCACGGGGCGCTGCACGGTGCCTGGTCTCTAGGCACTATGCCCAGCATCCCCCCGGGGGACACATGGCTAGTAGTCCCTGGCTGCAGCCACCTCCCTGATTATAGAGACGGCTCTGAGGGGCCACGAAGGGGGCTGTTTCCTCAGGAAGCTCGAGGCGCCAGGCCCCACAGAGGGCGGTGACACCAAGGAGCGGGCAGCCCCCTCCCCCACACCAGCTGCCCGGACCGGGGACAGCCCGGGAGGCAGTGCCCGGGAGGGGCACAGCAGCCGGGACTGCACCACGGCCGTGCTCTTCAAGGGGCCGGAGCCAGCAGGACTCGGCCCACAGGGCATGTCCGCATGCGTCCCCCTCCTTGTAGCTCGTCGGCCACCCTGTGTCACGGCCACCCATCCTGCAAGGGAGCGAATCACTGTTAGTAGAAGGAGGAATAAAGCCACAGTGGGGACACCACAGAGTGTGTCATACCACGTGTCGGAAAACTGACCATGACAAGTGCTGGCGAGGATGCGGGTGGCAGGCATGGCCTCGTACGGCCGGGCGACGGGGAGGTGGCTCCGGGTGGGAGAGCTGCCCGTGTGTGATCAGCGACTTGCTGAGTGACCCCCATGCGAGACCAGCCCCACGGCCTGCGTTACTGGGGCGGCAGTCCCCCCAACCCAGGGCGCCAGGACCTCCGGCACATCTCAGGCATTGCTTGGGGCAGGTGCCCTGCGGGGACCCTGGGGACACTGCGTCCTGAGGCGGCAGCACTAGACAGCCTTTTTAGGGAGCAGGAATTTTTAAAAGGTGAACTGCCCTGAACAGACGACTCACTTCCACCCGAGCAGGGGCTACAGTGATCCACTCAAGATGGCCCACACAGGCGACCCCCAAACGCCCTCAGGTCAGTGAGAACAAAGTGCGGCCCAGCCATGGGAGGGGGCGGCCCGGTAGCCGAAGGAGGCGAGAGTGGGGACGGCGAGCCTCGGACGCATCGAGATCGGGGAAGGCGCCGCGCCTAAGGCCTCCGGCCACAGGACCCCATCACCGGGTCAAGCAAAAATCTCCACCTCCAACCTCGGTGGGGGCAGAATCCTGCCTGAGACACCAGCGTGCCGTCAGGGAGGCAGACGCATAGCTGGCCCCGGATCTGCCCCTTGCCGCTGAGGCGAGTCACCAGGGGCGAGACCTGCCCGGCCTCCTGGAAGGTCTCTGGGACCCCCTTATCCGGGGACACGCAAGAGTCTGAGAATGGTGGTCCAAGCGTCACACAGCCCCCGGCCCCCAACGTGGCCCAGCACCTCCGTAGGCCTGGCCTGCAGCACCCTTTAAGCCACAATCTCCTGACAAAGTCATGCTCCCCCCCAACACGATACACCGTCCCGTCGCCAGGACACCGTCCCCCTGCCTCAGGCCGTGTTTACTCTCCCACGACTTGATTCACATTTCTGCGCTGCCCTCTCCTGCGAACTCTGGGAGCGAGGCCGGCCGCTCCTGACGCATCTGACGTAGATGACGGGGAAAGAAAAACAAAGTGTGTGGTTAACAAACAGACAAGCATATTCACATCGGAACGAGGAGACGGGCGTTTCTGCGGCCGGTCATGTGGCCACTGCTGGTGTCCTTTTTGGCCTTCTTCCTTCCACTGTCTAGTCCGTGCTCGGCCCCCAACCAGCACCTGCAGTGGCCAGGGTCCCCTGCCTGGTGCGACACCAAACCCCCCTTCCCGCGGGGCTGCCTGAATGACAGCATCGTCTCTCTCCACAGACTGCAGCCACAGGGTGTGGGGTGCCAAGGGGTGTCCCCAATTCTCAGCCTCACTGGGACACAGTTGCCCGCTTCCCCTTGACAGTCCGGCCCCATCTCCCTATTGAGCTGTCGCCCTTGAGCTGGCACTGAAATTGAGTCTGCAAAAGGCTCAAGAACATCTGTTGGACAGCCCAGACCCAGGGCACTGACGCCAGCACACGCGGGAGGACGAGGGGCCACAGACACTCACGCCACTGCCGGGGGACGCACACGGAGCAGCCGCGGGGGGGACGGCTGGGCGGACCTTACAGAACCGGACGCGGCCCTACCGCGTGAGCTGACGGTCGCGCTCCTTGGCGTTCGCCTGAGGAGGTGACCACCCGTGTCCACACACAGACCTGCACGCGAGGTCTGCAGCAGCTCACTCAGAGGCGCCAACACCTGGAAGCCCCGAGATGCCCTTCGGCAGGTGGACACATGCTCTGTGCTCGTCCAGCTGTCGCGTCATGAAGAGACACGGAGAGACCATAAGCGCACGTCACTAGGGGAGAGAAGCCGATCTGGAGCCACACGCGGTGCGATTCCAGCTACGTGACACTGGGAAAGGCAAGACATGGGGACAGTAAAAGGATCGCTGGTCCCAGGGCTGGTGGGGGAGGACGGATGGACAGTGAGCACACTCAGCCGGCATATCCAACATTTATGTCCTATACGTGTTCTGTTACATTTACACCTAAGCGTGTTTTTGAGTGATCGTAACGGGCGTTGTATTTCCATTTCGGTGCATATGTGTTCGTTGCTAGCGTCCAGGAATTCAGTTGGTGTTCGTCTGCTGTCCTTGTATGCTGTGACCTCGCCAAACTCGGGCACTAACCTTTTATGGATTCCATGGGGGTTCCACCACAGACAGCACACGGGCCGCAGGTGAAGGCAGGTCCCCTCTTGCTGTCCGTCCGAGTGCCGTATCCTTTCCTGCTTTGCTGCACTGAGCAGACACCCAGGCACAGTGGATGTGGTGATCGATGGCGGCACCGTGGCTTCTCCCTTGTCCAGGGGAGACGTTTGCTCCTCGCCCTGCATCCGATGTCACCGCAGCAGCTAGTCCACAAGCGCCCTCCTTCGGGGCCAGTGTCTCCTGCCAGACTGTTTGCTGAGCCCTTATCAGCGATGGATGTCGCATTTGTCAAACTCTCCCCCGCCCTTTTTTTTGAGGTTTTCTTTTTGGTCTGTTAACATGGCCGTTTACATTGGTTTATTCTGAAATGCACACAGAACTTGCATCGCTGGAATACACCCCACACGGTCAGGACGTGTTATTCTGTCTTCTGACCTTTTTGGGTTCAGTTTGCTGAGATTTCGCTCAGAATTGTTGCGTATTCGTTCGTGGGAGAAACCGCTCTGTGCTTTCGTGGTCCTGTGATGTCTGTGTGGTCTTAGACCCATGTGTCCGTGCGGCACTCACACACTCAGCGCTCGCCCTCGTCGCGTGGGTTCTCATGGACGCTGTGCTCGTGCTCTAACAGGTGGCACTGCCGTGGGCCCTCCCACGGATAATGGCCCTGGGCAGTGCTGCCCCCGTGCCGGAAGGCCGCGTCCTTCCTTCAGGCTCCCTCTCCGGTGGGTCCGTGGAAGCTATTTACCAATCCCTTTTCCTGCGTGTTTGGGGCCCGCTATTTGAGCAGCAGAGCCACGCGGGGTCCCCTCAGTTAGGGTGCTGGTGGAGTGGCACCAGGACCCGAGTGGCAGACGGAGACCAGCGAGAGCCACGCTTCAGGGTTGGAAGAGCTGTTGGGTGTCCTTGTCACCTCTTACTCAACAGGCAAGCCCAGTAAAGGCAGGTCGCCCTCACGTCTCACGTCTACGCAAACGAGGGCTCCAGTGCTGTCTGCGGGAACCCCGCCCCCCGGGAGCCAAACGAAACAGTGTAGGTGCCGATGGTCTTTATTTCTAATGAAGGAAAAGCCACCCAAATTGGGTATCATCTTGGTTTTATTTTCTCTTTTAAACACTGTGAACATCACGGTACTCCGATTTTGCTATTCTAAGCGGGGTCCACGGGTCAGCAGCAGCTGGGGGCGATCGGGTTGGGGGGATCCTTAGGCGGGCGATGGGGTCCCGCTGGTCCACTGAATGAGCGTCCGCTTTCAACAAGGTCCCCAGGGCCCTTCTGTGCACATCACGGACTGTGTTTGGTGCCGTGCTTCGAATCTTCTCAGAGTTTTACCCACATCGTTCTATATATTTAGTGGTTTTACAATTTTGCTTTATAAAAAATTTAGGTATTTCAGTCATCTGGAACTAATTTTTATGTTCGATGTAAAAAGAGCGCTCTTAGTTTTTCCTAAATAACTAATCAGTGGTCATGATACCTTTTATCCAGGAGTCCAACATTGCCCTACTGGGGAGGTATTAAGTGGGAAAAAGAAAAGCAAATTATAAATTAACATACACAGTATGATCTTGTATTTGTTCAAAGAAAAGATACTGCAAAAAACAAACGAAAAAATGAGTAGCATTCCAAAGATAGCTGGTGTCTAACCTGCGACAGAATCCGGGAGAGCGCTTCAGGGCCAGCTGGCAGGAGAACAGCCTAAATCAGCTTTTCGGTGACCAGGTTCTCACAGAGATGCGGCTCGGGAGAGGGATGGGCGCAGTGATTATTTTGAGCCGGCAAAAATCATTCTTTTAAGAACGCATCTTGTACGATAATATTTATATGAAATGGTCAGAGCTGACCAACCCTTAGGGACGAAAGAGAGATTACCTGTTACGGGATGTCGGGAGGAAGTGCTAATGGGTGTGGGGCTCCTCTCTTGGGGTGGCGAAAATGTCGTGGCGGTGGACCGCAGCGCCGTGACCAGCACACTGCGCACGGGTGGGCGGTGCGGCCTGTGCCTCACAACCTGTGGTCCGCCCGCCAGCGTTTGCGGGGTGCGTTAACCACACGCCCTGAGCAGCGGTCGGCCGAACCCCTAAGCACGGGGTGCACATGCTTATCTGATGGACTCTGCACCGAGCACACAGCGGTCCTGTCACACCCGTATTCGCGACACTCTCCGCCCGCCTACTGGTAGGGCGCGGGAGGACCGGAGGACGGACACCGTGGGCCGCCCCGACCGCGTGCACGCGTGGCAAGCCGGGCGCC